TGTGTCTTTGGTGTTCTTCATTCTCCTTTACTCCAGGTGGTTGGGACCAATTGATGCATCTTAGATGGCCGCTTCAAGCTTTTAAGACCCCAGATGCCACTCACCAAAGTAGGATGCAGAATATTGTCTTAATAAGCTTTGTTAAGCCAATTGACCTAGATGTCCCCTGAGAGCATAGTCCCCAGACCCCTAGCCCTGCTACTCTGCCCCTCAAAGTTCAACACAGTGAAATATGGTATTATAATCATCCCACTCTTGACAGTCAATACAGAAGAGCTCTCCCCCACCCCCACCCCACCTCTGTTAAGAAGAAAATCGATGATACACTCAAGTGGAACTGAGCAAATACTGCTACTGACTGAACTAAGAGGGCTATGACTGTGGGAACTGAGTTGCACTGTTTCCATGGCTTCAGCCTCCACTACTTCCTGAAAGTCCACAAATGAAAGCTACATAAAAACTTTAGATAGTTTATATTTAAAAAAAAAAAAAATTTAACTCTGGGAAAACTTGCTACCCCCTAGGAAGTCTCTAAGTCCCCAGAGCTGGCTGTGTTACATAAACCCAGACCAAACACACATTAGACCAATGGGGATGGCCACATTTCTCATCCAACAAAAGTAATAATTTCACCATGAGCGCTCTCTAATGGACAGAAACATCTTCCACAAAAGCTGGCCCTGAATCTCACTCTAAGTGCTCGACGTATACATTTCCCACAGAACTCTTAGGCAAGGAAAACCACCCTGTTAGGCACAGCTTTGCACCTCATCAGTCTTTCTGCCCTCTGTTTTGCCATTCACATTAATTGAAAGGTATTTACTACAGATGAAAAATAAGCTTTGTTCAGCTGCCTCTAAACCAATCCCAAAAATAGAGCAATCACTTTGGCACAAATTGGGTCAAATGTATAAAAAAAACCCAGCTCCCTGGTGGGAGGCTGACAGGGCATGGGACCTTGCTAAGTGTCAGGGGGGAAGTCCACAAAGATCTTCCCTTCCCACAGTGGGAAAGGGAATATTTAAAGAGTCAAGCAGTGTACAAACTCATCTGGTCATGTAACCATCCAAATGAAAATACGACACAAATCTGAAGGCCATGAGTTTAAGAATACTAAGAAGACAAAGGAATACACGTTGGTTTTTAGAAAGGCCTGCCAAACTAAAAACCCTCACCTTCCCCCTCCCCCCTACAAAAAAGTTCAGTTTTTAAGAATTATCAAGAAAGGACCCACTGCAGAGGGATGGCAAGGGGGAAGAAAAGAGATTGATCAATTTCCTATAATATTTTATTCCCTCACTCCTTAACTGAGAAACTCAAATGGTTCAACAGCACTTATATTAGTGCCCTGCATTTCCCTGGGAAAAATCAGAGTATTAATTGGCTTACACATGCAGCTATATTAATTATTGCATTAATCTGCCCTTCTGAAAGGCATTTATTTTCTAAGTTTGTTTAATCATGTTCTCTTGAGCGACAAATAGCAACAAACTGGGTCACCATACACGTCGTTAAATTTGGTAACAAGGCTGACACCATCTGTGGCCTCGACTACAATGATCCATCTCCATCGATGGGATGCTTTTCACTACTTCTGCTCGTCCTTTAAAATGATCATCTAACGTCACATGTGTATAACCAAATCAAAAGCTCTTTAAAATATCCAAAGTTACACAAGTAATCTTTAGCACACTTTAAATATATACTAACAGAAAGCATTCACATACGTATCTAACTTCCATTTACAGTTATATTTTCAGTTACAATACCCAAAACTTTTTTTAAATTCTCTGGAAATCAAACTACAGATGTGAAAATCTGAATAGACATCATGTTACATCTGAAATATGCCACAACATTTTAAATGTAACATGAAATCCTGTACATAAACCATTAAGGCTAAATTCACAACAGTATAGTTTCAATATCCTCAGAAGCCAGCAGATCTCTCCCTGCAGTAGTCTTGCCTTTACAACATTCAGTTAAGAACATCCAACCTAACTAAACTCCAGTTCAACATGAAAAACCAGAAAGAACTAGCTAAAAGAGGAGAGAGCAGAGACACCAAAATGGAGGGAGGTTCCTGTTATCCAGCATGGCTCCCTCCTTCATCTACCATTTGCCACGACCTCCAATTATAAAGTACTGATCCTTGCAAGAAGGAAGCTGTGGCGCCAGAAAAATCTCGGAATGGCTTCTGAATCATCAAAGAAAGATTACAGAATGTCAGAGGTAAAAACAATCCTAGTGATCATCTCCTCCAATCCCCTTAATTGACAGATGCGTGAATGGCAACGCAAAAAGGGCATGGGAAGTGCCCCACAACAAAACCAGTGGATGGCAAGTGGAACAAGCTGCTAGTTATACAGCCCTTTAGTGCCTTTTTTTTTTTCTTTAACTATATCAACCTTTCCCAAAGAAAGTTCCATGGAACCCTGATTCCATGATGTTAAAGTATTCTGCCAAAAAAATGTACAAAGAATCCATGACCAATTACTTTTTTGGGACTAGCTGAATTAAACAAAATGAAACTGTTTTTTAATTGCAGACCTTCCTAGAGCTTTTGCTAGGCTAACGTGCACCATAAATCTTTAAGACGGCAATAAAGTATATTGAAGTATACCAATTTATTTAACCATAGAATCATTTTATCTTGGGACTTTTCAAAGGACTAAAATCCAAACACTAAATCCACTGCCATCAAGTCAATTCCGATTCACAGTGACCCTACAGGCCAGAGGAGAACTGCCCCATAGAGTTTCCAAGGAGCGGCTGGTGGATTCAAACTGGAGACCTTTTGGTTAGCAGCCTTAATGCTTAACCACTGCGCCACCAGGGCTAGGAGTAGGAGTTTCAATAATACAAGGTGCTGCAGTAGTTAAGTGCATGGCTGCTAACCAAAAGGTCGGCAGTTCAAATCCACCAATCCCTCCTTGGAATCTCTATGAGGCAGTTCTACAGTCTGTCGTACAGGGTGGCTATAAGTTGGAATCAGAATCGACTCCACGGCGACTGGCTTGGTTTTTTGTTTTTTAATCTTTATGGGATCAGGATCACCAGGTCTTTTCCCCTGTAGAGTCGCTGGGTGGGTTCAAACTGCCAGCCTTTTGGTTAGCAGCTGAACGCTTCTCTAAGAATGAGTAGTTTGTGTATAAACGATAATTGTATGATAATTCTTTACTTACTACAAAAATTGACCAAACAATTTTGGTCACTCCCAAATAACACTAGATTTAAAAATTAAAAAATAAATAAATAAATAAAAAGCTAGTATCAGGAAAAGAATGGTAGACAGCAAAAGTCTGTGTGGAGAAAAAAAGTTATTTTAAATATCTGCTACAAACCTCTCCCATAAAAAGTTCCACATCTATTTACACAAGATTCATGACTTTTGACATGTTCATTCAGTATAAATTTGAGAATACAGGTCAAATAAACACTGTTGCAAAGGTCTGGGAAACGTCACATGCATGGCTGCAAACACCAACGGCCCCAGAAAGCCAGCAGCCCAAGTATAGAGGCAAATGACAACCACACATCAGAACAAGCAAGAAGTCTAAGGACACTTACCAAGTTATGATTTGTTGAATTAGAATCATCTTCAGGGAATGGGATGTAAATAGCTAAGGCCACACAATTGGCAAAAATAGCCAATAATATAAATATGTCAAATGGTCTGAAAAATTGTGTTAAGGTATGTATTATGCAAACATAAACCATCCTCTCATCACAGTCCCGATCACACCACTTCTGAATCTTTTTTAAGATAAAAAATGACATACACAAATCATTTTCTGACTGACCAGGGTGACTGCCAGGTTTTCAGCAGAAGTAACCACCAGCGGTCATCTCATAGCAGATCTTCCTATCAAATGACCTCTCCACGTCCTTTTTTTCCGTTGCAAGGATCATGTTACACTCATTCTTCTGCTGCACATTTTATGTTAAAACCTAAAACTGCATAGAACTAGGGAATTGTGTGAACCAGGCTTCTGCTTCTTGTAGTTTTAAAAGAAACAAGGGCCTTCGAAAGCTAAATTCCCGGCTGCAGCAGACACAGAGAAGTCATCATGGGACAAGTCTCTTCCACAGATCCTTGGCTCCATGTGTTAGAGCCATTTTCTTGGGGACTATTCTTGGCTGGGTCAGTCAGAATCTCTTCTCTGGACTGGGACAGGCCAGGTTACTAGGACCTTCTCCATTTTCCCTATGACTCTCTCAGGCCATGGTCCAATACCTCAGACACCGTAATAAGCAAGGCAGGCCTCAGCTTCTTCCTCTGCGTTCTTTACCAGAGTAATCAATGGCTGTAACTGTTTCAGATTAGAGCTGGACTGGAGCTCAGTTTATAATGTGCTGTTACTGTGTTCAATTTATAAACAAATTAAATAAAAAGCCACAAGAAATCAGCAGCAGACACTTTCAAAGCACTATTTAACAATTCTAAATCTCGGGGGTCTGTCTGGAAGAATCACTTGGAGATCAGATTTCAACAGATACTCGCTTAAACATTCTGGTGTTATTAAAAGACACTGTCAAAACTAGCAATAGAAAATCTGACATCTGCCAAATGACTGTTTTCCTTCTTTTGGTTTTCAGCCTTTCCAAAGCGAGGTTTCATGAGTAACCAACCTAATCCGCAATTCCCAGGCCTGATTTACAATGGTGTGTCTCTCTCATACACTCACTCACAAAAGGGAAGGCCATCATACACCGCTTGACTAAATACCTCAAGGTACTAAAGATTCAAGAACACCAACAGACTATTCTCCATTCACCCTGATACTCTCCTGGGAATTCAAAAATGCTAAAGGAAACAAATACCCCTCAACTCTCTGGAGATACCTTGGGTGTTATAGAACCTCAGCCCCTTGACGAACTTCAATATTTGATATGAAAGTATGAACACTCTTCCCTTACTAATTTCGATGGTTTATTTTTTAAGCTAGTTAGCTTTAATTCATGTTTATTCTTTTAACTCATCTAGCAAGTAAGAATCTTTTATCCAGGGATCCACTTTTAAAACAGTCCACCTTCAGAAGACTTCAGGATCGCCTTTCATTTTTCCTTTTGACAATTCCCCACCGGAATTTAAGAAGTCAACTGAACCAATGTTCAGCAGAAACACACTGTCTCTGCTCACATTCTCCCACACCACCATCCTCCCTTTTAAACTTCCCAATACCTAAATGAGAAACAGGCACATCTGAGAAATACTGACACTGTTCAGGAAGGCCCAACATAAGGCGTACTTTCTTCTTTATGCTGGTTCAGTTTCGGTCTCTAAGTACTGGTGGAAACCATCATCACTGCCACAAGATTTCTACGAGCCAATCAGAGTAGAGAAATAGATGGGTCTGATCCTATCATCTCCTTCCAAAATAAAGAAAACACCACTTACTTCCCCGAGGTGCAGCACACTCTTCCTTGTCTGCCTGCAAAAACGAACTAACTCCTCCCTCTCAGTGCTGACTAGGTCTGACAGAGCAGGCTTTCGGAGGACTTGTATAACCTGCTCCCTGAATTAGAAGGAAACGGCCACTGGAAAAAACAAACGGATCCTATGATGTTTAAGAATCCAGTTTACAAACAACCCCATTTGTAAGCAGGCTATTCCCTGAATTGGCAGCCGTGTCCCCTGATTGCTATACACACATATCTGGCAATGCAGGAAAGGAAGATGGCAGCATGACCCAGGAATTCACTCTCTACACATAAACTGCTATATACAAATTACTGTGCACAAAGAGAAACAGCATCAGGCTCTGCATACAATTAATGACCCCACTGAGAGGTCTCTGCTTACTCTGAGTCACATCAAACCAACCTATGGAGGAAGAGATCTTTCTAGGTACAGTTACTGCCTCTGATCCAGGGATGCCACCAGAGCACACCCTGATTTACCTAGCTCCCTCCTGGGCTGACACTGACATTCTGTCCTCAGACTACAGAAGAACTTAAAGAGGGAACACACACACACAGTCCCAGCTATGTGAGGGACACCAGAGCTCACTCGAGAGGAGACATCTGTTCCGAGAAGCACATGAAAACCCCCCAAATCCTACCCTAGCACTTGACTGCTCTCTCCAAAACCTTTCTAGAGAGTTAACTCATTTTAACTCCTGTCCTTAAGCAGAGAGGGGCCCTAGTGGCACAGTGGTTAAGAGCTCAGCTGTTAACTAAAAGGTCAGTAGTTCAAATCTATCAGCTGCCCCTTGGAAACCCTATGAGGCAGTTCTACTCTGTCCTATAGGGTCCCTATGAGTCAGAACTGACTTGATGGCAATGAGTTTGGTTTGATTTGGTTTAAGCAGAGAAAATAGCCAGAGAAGACAAAGGACATGCAAATAGCTGCCTAGCTAGGTAATCAAGTTATTGGGAGGTTTCAGCTCCACTTTCTAGCTGGCCACCAACATTCTCCCCCTTAAGCACGGCCCTTTCATCATTCTGGGAGTAGTGGGGGCAAAGCCCTATGTTCTCACTCCTTCCCATGGTTAGGAACTGTTCTAAGGTTCCTGCCAGCTCCAAAAACACTTCTGGGGGAAAGGAAATGCTTTATTTTACCCAGACCAATGAATCATCTGACTAATTAGAAAGCCGTTTGCTTAGAAAGAAGGCCTCAGTCAACCTTTCCTGAAGGAGGGCAGTGGCTGGAGCTCGGCCTCAAGATTTGGGGGAAGGGATACACAAACTGAACCACAATAGTTTTCCAAGATCTGGGACATATCAACCATCCTGGGGCATTTGGAGTTCAATTTTAAAAATACAAAGGAGACACCCAGAAATGTAACTCCAGTCCAAGGACATAGACAAATTTTTTTATAAAGGCAGCAACTGCAAATTCCTCCACAGCAAGGGCTGTTCTACAACTCGTAAGGGCTCAGGGAGAAGAGGCACATACAGACTTCTCCCTTCACACGCCCCTCACGCTCACATTTCACAGGCTTTTTTGGAGCTTATCAAAAGGAAATTCCAGGAAGTCATAGCATTGATCAGCCAAAAAAACACAAACAATTCAAAAGTACTCCCTCCCTCCCTATGAAGCAAGTGTTCGTATTTGTATGTAGCTACCTGAACAACTAGAATCACCAAATGTCAGGGGCAGAAGCAACCTTAGCATTAACTGGAGTTGCAGAAGCAAATTCCAAAACATCAGAAGATTTTGCTAAAGGTCAAAAATGTATTCACTTCCAGTAGAGTCTCATACAGTCTATTTTTTAAATTGGTATAGCTTATTCATAATAGGTTTGATGCATACCACTGCCAAAAAACAATAGTAGATTTTAAACTAACCACAGGTATCAAATGACCAAAGGCTACTTTTCATACTTTAATTATCCACCACTTTGAAGTTTTAGGCTGTTACTCCCTCCCCCCATCACTCTACACACACACACACACACACACACACACACACACACACACACTCTCTCTCTCTCTCTCTCTCTCTGTCTCTCTCTCTCTCCAGACAGTGGGCTAAATATACCCACAAAGCCACCCCTCTGCAAGCCTAGGAGATCTGAAGGTAATAGACAATGAAACCCCTTCCATACAGCTTCTTCTGTGGCTCACATTCCAGACCGCTCCAGCTTTGTAAGTGCCATTTCAGAAAGCAGATCCTTTTAAAGAACAGATGGTAATAGAGAAAATGAGAAAGACTTCCCCAAAAAAGGATACTTCCATTCCACTATACTAATGCAGGCTCTTCGGATGGGGTTATTGAGTGATAAACAGAAAAGGGCACGGGCAGGTCGGCTGTTGGATGAGTTACCCTGTTTTTTGCTCTTGGCGTATTGCTGACGTTTTCTTTGGGAGAGAGATCCTACAGGTGGGGGCGCAGAGGTGCTCATAGTTTGGGCAGCCTTGGCCTGTCTAGCAGCGTCGATTGCAGCTTGCCAAGACAGGACAGTCTGCTTGGAGCTATTCGGCTGAGAAGTTGGTCCTTCACCAGAAAGAGGGAGTCTGGTGCCTCTTGCATAGTTTGCCTCTGGGGAGGAGAAAAAGAAAGAAAAATAACAATGAGCATCCAGTGTCCAGAAAAAAAACCAAGGTTGTCTCACATCAGAAAGGGGGGGGGGGATCATACCCATGTGCTCACTTTGAACCTTGTGTGCTGTTTTTCTGAAGCTGGCATTTGGTCAGCCAGAGTGGCAGGAAAAGTCCATTTGCTCTGGCCTGAGTGTCAGTCACCCAGGAGCAGTACTGCATCACACCCATCAACATTCGTGCCTCTCTATATCCATGGCTTCACAAGGAGTCGTTTAGGCATTTTCAGACTAACTGAGGTCATTTCCACATTTATTCCACACTCTTTGCAATTTGTAAAACCCACGTATCTCTAATGACTTAACAGATACGTACAATAGTTTTTCTTTAAAATAACTAGCACCATTACAGAAAAAGGGAGGGGGTAGTGCCAATAATTCAATAGTCTTAATCATTTTCAGGGTGTTACTCCAACATCTTTCCACAGCCATAAATGCAATTCTTCCAACATGAAAGAAAAAATAAAAAATTCTCCACTGGCACCCAGGCAACACCAAAAACCCCATAACAAATATCTAGATTATGCACTGACGCTTCCTGCAAATGAAAATTCATGATGCTTGGGATTCATTTCCTCCACAGGCTTCCGAAAACAGAAAACATCTTTAGGGCTTTTTTGCATTTTAAATTGCAGCAGCATCAGCCAAGCCAGCATCCAGAGAGACAGGCAGGCAACCTGCACTCCTACACCTAGGATGACAGGCTGGATTACAACAGGGGCCCTCAAGGCCTAAACAGGAGTCACCTGAGTGTAGTGGGGCATCCAGGTGCACACGGGGCAGACCCCCAAGGAGGCCTCCTGTGAGAAGCCCCCACAAGCTTTGAGTCAGGTCAAAACCCAGGCAGGTATCCTAGGCACCTGTCCCCGCCCTTGCTCTAAATGTCTTTATGGAGGCAGAGGCCAAAGTGAGAGGTAGAGGGATGAGCATTCGAAAAACCAATTACTGTTAACAGCAAGGGAGAGTCACTGCAAGCACAGGTCTGCTGCCCAGCAGCCTGAGAAGGGGGCAGAGTGGGCGGGCAGCTTGGGAGCCCACGATGAGTCGTGCCAACCCCTTCCATGGGGAGCACTCACTCGGGAAGGTTTCCAGCCGAGTGGGAGACGCAGAGGGGCCGGCGACCTCCAAGAAGAGGGGACAGGGCTGGCCAGGAGCTGCTCCAGCCTTCCTAGACCGAGCCCGGGCCAGTGTGGAAACTGCACGTGGTGCCCGGCCCGGGGAGGGGAGCCTCACAGCGGCAGCGACTCCCCGGGCATTGCTAGGTTACCGATGTGTGCACTGCCGGCGCCGGGAGCGGGAATACACGCTCCGTCCGCCCCCTCCCCTCGATTTCAGACCGCGCCTCCCCCCGCAAGGGGAGGGGTGTGCTTCATCCACCGGCGCCAAGGGTGAAGGGTGAAACCGGGCAATCCTAGAATTTTCCGGATGCCACCAGAGACCTTCCCAGTCAACCAGGGGGCGGGGGAAGAAAGGAAAGGGAGAAGAGGCTAACCCCACCACCACCTTCATTGCTCGGCTGCGTTGGTGGAAAGTTGAGCCCGAGGACACCGAACCCAAATCACCTCGGCTAGCCCCTCCTGCTGCACAGTACACCAGAGACTCAACGGCCGCCCCCACCCCACAAATGCAGAATTAACTCTGACACTCAGGGCCTAAAAGGGAGAACGGAGTGGCTTTTTCACGCATCTCCCCTTTCTATGTAGATCACACTGGGCTAGAAGCATCCTTTCCAACCCCCTCAACCCACCCAGCGCATCAGAGACGGGAGCAGCGGGGGGGCGAGAGGGGGAGAGGGGGTGAAAACAGGACCATGACAAGGATTAGATGTGGCAGCGGGTGCCCAGGCTCTGGCTGCTCACCGTTCGCGTGGTCCGCTTGCTGCCGTTGATGCTGCATTTTTTTCATCATCATCATCATCATCATCCACGAACATTTATTGAGCGCCTACTGTGTGCAGGGCACTGTGCCGGGCGTTGGGGCGGGGGAGGAACGGGGAAGGGGGTTACCAATAGGTAGGAGCCGCGGTCCCTGCGCTTATTCTTGCTTCAGCAGGGGGTGGGGAGAGACGGGGACAAACAACAGAAAATAAGGACAATTTATAAAAACCGCTCGCCACCCACGCTCCCTCTTTTTCAAAAAAATGGAGCAAAATAAACTTTTTAAAAAAATAAAATCCGATGTATATATTATGTTAATAATATATACATGCAATTTTTTGCTGCAAAGGAGAATTGGCTTGGTCCCCTCCTCTAGCGGAGGGACGCCGCGGAGATGCCGGTCCGGCCGCCGGGGCCGCTCAGAGCGCCCCCCATGC